TTTTTGGTTTTTCTCCGGTACCGGGAACCGAACTCACGACCTTGCGCTTGCCAGGCAGGCGCTTTGCCGCTGAGCTAAATCCCCAGCCCCAACCTCCGTCTCTTGGGCTCCTTTCCATTTGCCAAAGATCTGTCTCCCTGTTTCCTTCTACTGAACCTATATTTTGCTCTTTATTTATACTTCGCACTCAAAAGGGAGAGGCCATGCAGTAGTTAAGCTTGTGTGTCTGATTTATTTCACTTAACATTTTCCAGGTATGTCCATTTTCCTACAAATGTTCTAAATTTATCTTTCCTTGTAGCTAAGTAGTATTCCATTGTGTACACTAAATCTTTTATTTCCTCCCCTTCCACTTGGTCTCTTGGACCCCTTATCGAATGCTTGCTGTGTTTTAAGTGTCATACATGTATTATCTGCTTTAATCTTTACAACAACCCTTTGAGATAGGAAGTGTTACTATCTGCATCATATAGACAAGGACATGGAGACTCAGAAAGGTTAAGTAGCAGGTCCAGAGTTACAGAAGAGCCAAGGGGAGGATGCTGGATTCAGATGTAGGCCTCTGCTTTTTGCTGAGACCTTGCCCCCACCTCCACACACAACAGAGCAAAGATAGAATGTGTAATTCTGTCTCCAGCATGCATGGTTCTGGTTTATAGGTTTCTTGGAGTGATTCTTTTTTATCCATAGAATTTATTTTAAAATTGCACCTTTCTTCAGTGTAATGACTAACCTATTAGTAATTATTAATAGGAAAACAATGTAAAGTGAAAAAGTATTGCGCACAAAGAGCTTCATGTATTTTGACTAGAGTCAGATGTATCATAGCTCATCAGGGTATGATGGATGAAGACAGAGGCGTTGAGCAGGAGAGAGATGGAAAGAATTGGTTTCAGTAAACACAAAGGAGAAGGCAAGAAGAGGGTGGTGATACTGATGGGCCTTGAAATGCCCATCGTGCTGTGGGAGTCTCTCCCAGTCCTAAGTCCCATGTCATCCAAAATCTGAAGCAGAGGACAGTCCCCACCCAGAGCATCTCCACTAGGACAGGGAGCCAGCACCTAGCACACTGAAGATGCTTTGTAAATATTTACTAAACAGATGAATCATGATACTGAAAAAGAGAATCTGTCACAAAGATCAAGAGTGATTGCTAAGGTAGCAGTAGGAACCAGCTTTCTCTTTCCTCCTGTCCTTTGACTTTGGTTTCTTTAATGTTACCTTTACATTTATTATTTACTAGAAATAAATCATTAGTTGAAAAGTCCTGAATCTTACCCACTAAATGCTCTCGTTTTAGCCTGCTTTTCCTACCAAACCCAGTGGGGACAGTTACTTGTTCTGGGGAAAGTCTGTGATAGTAAGTCTAAGCTAGTTGTGACCTGTGCTCTTTTTCCTCCTTTCTAGCGTGCAAATGCAATGGGCATGCATCGCTGTGCAATGCCAACACGGGCAAGTGCTTCTGTACCACCAAGGGCGTCAAGGGGGACGAGTGCCAGCTGTGAGTACCACACCCTGTACCCAGGGAGGGCTGGGGCCAGGAAGCTGCCATCACCCTGGATGGAAGGGCAGAATCCCTTGCTTAGCTTATCTGGGAAAAGTGCTTCGCCCAGGCCTTCCCCACTTTTCTCACACTTCCAAGCTCTTGTTCCTGCCTCAGTGGCTTTGTAAAGTAGAAAACTGGGTCTGCTGATGTTTGTAGATGATATCTATGGGGAGATTAATAATTCTTTTAGATGATACCTATGGGGAATTTATGTTCTTTTTAAATAGAACTTAGTTTTTCTTCAGACTGGTGAACACTTGTTGAAGGGTTTTTGTTTTTAAGGTGATTGTTAGTATTTAGGTTTCTCTTGTGTATGTTTATAAAGAACAGGATCAGTTTACCTAGGGATAGCAGGAAATAAGTGAAAAGTGAATATTTAAAAAATGTTTTAGCTGGGCATGGTGGTGCATGCCTGTAATCCCAGCACAGGAGGCTGAGGCAGGAGGATCGTTGAGAGTTCGAGACCACCCTGGGCTACAAAATGAGCTCAAGGCCAGCCTAAACTACGTAGAGAAACCCTGTCTCAAAAAGACAAAAAAAAAAAGTTTTAATTGTACTTTTAGAGTATGTAGTCCATACAAAAGTTGAAAGTATGGTTTTCCTTACAATAAATGGGGTCTGAATTCATTGCATTTGGGTTTATGTCATGTGCCTTTGCAGCTACCTATCCATTGTATCCACTGCTTTTATATAGTTGTTGGTGTGCACTGCTGGCAGTCAGCATGAAAATCCCTCAAACTCCCCTTAGTCCATCCGTCTGAAGAGTAGTGAAGAATGTAATTATCCTGACTCAGAGCTATTTGTCATTTACATGAGTCTCTCTGATTTTAAAATGAATGTAGATTTGATTTTAAGGAGAAAATAATTACATTTTTTTCTTCTTCTAGATGTGAGGTAGAAAATCGATACCAGGGAAACCCTCTCAAAGGAACATGTTATTGTAAGTGTTTTTCTGGTTTTTATTTCTAGAAGCAGAGTAGTTCCGCAAAATTTCTTTCTCTTTAACATGGTTTGGGGACAGAAAGTGCTAGAGGAATACAGCAGTGGCAGTGGAGCCACAGCCATGGAAGTGTCCCCAACCAATGGGCACTATTTTAAGCACTACTTTTGGCTTACTTGTGGCTGTGGTTTATGCTAGTGTGTCCACAGAAGATAGGAGAGGATAGTCTACAATATGGATCCTTGGCTTTCCTGAAGTTCTCCTGAATCCTTACTCCATGTGCCATCCCCTGACTGAGGTTTTCATTTCATATTTCAGGATATAGATTAAAAAAAAACCCAGAATTGTTAAAATAGAAATGAAGTTTCATGATTTTCTTTGCAGCTGATTTCTGTTAACCTAACCACCTCTTTAGGAACAAATAATATCAAATAATTACCTTGGAGTGAAAGGTGAATCTGGCTAGGTGACCAGGTCCTTATGGGTAAATGCATTTTCTGCCTGTATGAGAATCGGCATGGTAGGCCAGATTATGGAATGAGAGAAACAGCTGTTGATGTTTGGCATCTCTGATTATACAACTGCAGTACCAGGCTGAATAGCATCATGTTTGTATTCACAAAATTCATGTCTATCTGGAATCTGTGCATGTGACAGGAGAAAAAAATTCTTGATGTTGGCTAGGGAAAAGAGCTCTTAGATGTGATTTCATAAAAGAAAAAATTGACCAATGAGACTTTATGAAAACTTGTGTTTTTTAAAAAAACACTTATCCAAAAAGATAAATCCATTTTAAAACAGGCGAACTGACAGGTATGGTGGTGCACACCTGTAATCCCAGCACTCAGGAGGCTGAGGCAGGAGGATCGCTGTGAGTTTGAGGCCAACCTCAGCTGTAAAGTGAGTTCAAGGCCAGCCTGAAGTGCATAGCAAAACCCTGTCTCAAAAAGACAAAAATAATAATAATAATAATAATAATAATACAGGCAAAGATTTCAAAAGAAATTTCACTGAAGAAGATATATGAGTGACTAATAAGCACTTAAAAAATACTTAGCATCATTAGTTATTTGGGATAGGTATATTAAAACCACAGTGAGATATGACTAGTATCAGATAAAACCAAATGGTCTAGAATGATAGGAGTCAAAATTAATACCATAACCTAACAGAAGACAGCTATAACCTGGTGTGCTTCTGCATTCAAGCTGTTGTAAGAAGTCCTCCTTGGTTAAATACATGTAAATACATATAAAATACCTGGTCTCACTAGACAGAAAAAAGGATGGATGGAGTGTTTTAACAGCCATTTCAGATAATTGTAGACAGTATCTTTTCTTCCCCCTGTTGCAGTAGTGGGGACTGAACCCAAGGCTTTCACACTGAGTTATATCTCCATCCCTCCCTTCTTTCTTTCTTCCTTTCTTCCTTTCCCTCCCTCCCTCCCTTCCTTCCTTGCTTCCTATTTTTAACCAGGGTCTTGCTAAGTTGTCAAGACTGGGTTCAAATTTGCTATCCTCCTGTCTCAGCCTCCCAGAGTGATGCTATTGCAGATGTGTCCCACTGTGTCTGGCTTGGACAGTATCTTTTGATACAATAGTGAAACTGGAGAATGGTCATTTCTTAAAGATTGAAATATGAAGTGGAAAGCTCATCAGTACAATTTGTCATCTGGCACATTAAGATCTGTTTATGGGGTTAAAAACCAACACCCCAAGTTTTACTGAGAGTGTTGAGAAACTGGAACGTTCCTGTGTTACTTGGTGTCTCAGTTACCTTTCTCTCATTGCTGGGACAAAATATCTGACGACCAAAATTAAGGAAGGAAAGGTTTATTTCACTTACAGTTTGTGGAGGTTTCAATCCATACTAGGCATGATTATCAGGTAGAGTGGCACATGGCAGAGGGCTGCATTTCAGGGCGGCAGCCACAGCTAAGCGACTACCACGACCCACACACCAGGGCGGAATGTGGGAGGAATGTCCCCAAGCAGCTCCTTCCTCTCCCTTACATACGCAAACTATCCACTCCTGGGCGGGTGCTGCTCTCACACCCATATTCAACTCTAATAGCCTGCCCCATATCCGCAGGAGGCTTTGGGGGGACACACAGACATAAACCATAACACTTGGCAACACCAAACAGTTAAAAATAAACTTAGCAAGAATTCCTCATCTCCCTCTCCCCAGACCCTTGCAATCACCCATTTTATTTTATGTTTCTATAATTTGACTAAATTGTATCTAATTGTATCTCATCTAAGTGGACCATGTGGTATGTGACTTTTTGTGAGTGGTATTATAATTATTGTAATGTTGTCAAGGTTCATCCATGTTGTAGCATATGTCTGAATTTTCTTTTTTATGGCTGAATAATATTCCATTGTACTACATAACATTTTGCTCATCCATTTATCTGTTAGTAAACATGTGGGTTGCTTCCATCTTTTGACTGTTGTCACTAATGCTGCTGTGAATATGGGTATGCAAATACCCATTTTAGACCTTGCTTTCAATTCTTTCGGTAGTATTCCCATAGGTGTAGTTACTAGGTCATGTCGAAATTTTGAGTTTAATTTTGAGGAGCTGCCATACTATTTTCTATTACAGCTATACCATTTTCCATTCTCATCAGCAGTGCACAAGTATTTCAGTTTTTCTGTATCCTTACCAACACTTGTTATTTTCTGGTTTGTTTGTTTTTTAATGTTAGCATTCTGGTGGGTATAAGATGATATCTCATTGTGGGTTTGGTTTGCATTTCCCTAACAAGCAGATTGAGTAGTATAAGCATTATTAGTATTATTGAATAATGCTAATATTAATCATTAATATTAATATTACTGGTATTATTGAGTATCTTTCCATGTGCTTATTGGCTATTTGTGTATCTTCTTGGAAGAAATGTTCATTAAAGGTCGTCTCTCATTTCTTATCAGGTTTTTTATTGTTGTTATTGAGTCATGCAATAGATTTTTTTTTTTAAGACGGTCTTGCTGTATATTTCAGGCTGGCCTTGAACCACTGTGCAGCTTAGGCTAGTCCCGAACTCACAGTAATCCTCCTGTCTCAGCTTCCCAAGTGCTGGGATTACAGGTGTGCATGACCACACACAGCCTATAGACTTTTACCAATTTTGTTACGAAGGCACATTGTCATGGGTATATAATGCCCATGCTTATTCTTTAGAATATTTCTATTGAGTGCCAGGCATGGTGGCGCATGCCTGTAATCCCAGCACTCGGGAGGCTGAGGCGGGAGGATTGTTGCGAGTTCAAGGCCAGCCTGGACTACAAAGTGAGCTCAAGGCCAGCCTCAACTGCATAGTGAGACCTTGTCTCAGAAAGACCCCCCCAAAAAAAAGAATATTTCTATTGATGAATTATTAATTTTAATATTATGAGTTTTAGTATATTAAACAATGAGTACTTAACAGGAAAAATTTCAAAATAAAGTATTAGATTTTTAAAAGTTACTGTTTATTAAAAAAATCAAAACTTTCAACATCAGTTGTCTTTTGGTATACAAAGTCTAAGAACTAACAACAGAAATAAATTCTTATATGAACTACAATGAAAAAATAGAACGCTGCAACAAAAAAAAATAAACTTTTGTTTTTGTCTTTTTGAGACAGGGTCTTGCTGTGCAGTTCAGGTTAGCCTTGAGCTCACTTTGTAGCCCAGGCTGGTCTTGAACTCACAGTGATCCTCCTGCCTCAGCCTCCTGAGTGGTGGGATTACAGGCATGCACCACCACTCCCGGCCCCCAAAAAATTAATCTTTACTTCACTTATCTCACCTAAGCAGTCTGCACACATGACAACAGCATGTGTTGCTTTTTTAAGCAACATATACAAGTGTTGCTTATACCAAGAGCACATGTGTTTTACTTTCCTGGCCTTTTTGTAGGACATAGTTGACGTCTTGCTAGTCTTGCTGTTTTGTCAGGAGGTTATTATATTGTATAATATGTAGTTAGTAGAAACATAAAATAATAAAATAAAGTATTTAATTCTTAATATATATTGCATGTTTAGGAATAAACATCAGCGTTTTCACATCAGCTGTGTACTTGTCTTCAAAACCTAAAAGATAACATCAGAAATAAATTCCTATATGAACTACCGTGAAAATACCAGTAGAACTCTACAACAGAAATAATCTTTCCTTCACTTGTCACACCCCAGGCGGCCTTCACACGTGATAACTACTGCGTGTCCCATGCTCGTGTCTTGCTTACACTGACAGCACATGTGCGTAGCTTTCCTTTTCTGTGTGACAGGCTGTTCTTGTCACTTCTGTTGTCTTCCTCTTTCTTCAGGAGCTTCTTGTTTCTTTTTTATTTTTTATTTTTTTTGGTTTTTCTCCGGTACCAGGAATCAAACTCACGATCTTGCGCTTGCCAGGCAGGCACTGTGCCACTGAGCTAAATCCCCAGCCCCAGGAGCTTCTTACTATGTTGTACAATGTGCACTTAGCAGGAAAATGAGATATCAATAAAATAAAGTATCAAACGTAATGAGTGCTTAGAATAGACATATACATTTTCATATTAGCTTTTCACTTGCTTACAAACCTGAGAGATAACATCAGAAATAAATTCCTATATTAACTGCCATGAAAATACCCATTCTTTACCACAAAAATAAACTTTGCTTCAATTGTCACACCCAAGACAAGCCTCATACGTGACAATTACATGTTCCATGCATAAGTATCACTTGCACTGATGGCACGTATGTTTTGTTTGCCTGTCCTTTTTTCATAAGGTGCAGTTGACATCTTTCTGGTTTTCCTGTTATCATAGTAGGTCTTTGTGATGTTGTACCTGCTGTTCGTCTGTCAGCTCACCACTGTGCTGCATGATTTTTTGCGTAGTTGCCTGGGGAGAAACACTTTGTTCTTCCTCTGCTATAAATGAGCTCTTATGAGTTCCAGTCTCAGTCCTCTATGAAAATTTCTGTGTGATATATTGCACTTGTTATTTTCTTTGTAAACTATGAAACTCTTTATGCCACACATGTTTAGGATCGTACTCCAGACCTAGGACCAACCATTTTTCCATAGAGTCCTGGTTTCTGTCACACTATCAATTTAAATCTTTGTATCTTTAAACAAAGCCTAGCATGTAGAAATCCAGTTAATATTTGTAGGTGAGTAAGCTTAGAGCCAAAATCATAAGTAGGGTCATGACAGAAGGAGGATTTGATGGGTATCTGAAATAAAATGATACTGCCAAAAGACTTGGTTGGTTTTAGAGATCTGTTCCATTTTGTTCTGTTTCAATTTTTTAAATATGCATTTCTTTCTTTCCATAGATACTCTTCTTATTGACTATCAGTTCACTTTTAGCCTGTCCCAGGAAGATGACCGGTATTACACAGCCATCAATTTTGTGGCTACTCCTGATGAAGTAAGAATTTTTAAAGTTTTCCAATGTGTTCTAAATGTGCACAGATCCTTTTCTGGGTCATCATGGATAGAAGTATGCCTTAGTGGCAGTCCCAGAGTGGAGTACATGGGTGATCTTTGGAGGCACAAGAAATGTTATGATCTACATTTTACCTCCTTTCCATCCAAAAGGCAAGAACATAATTGTAATATTTGTCAGGATTTGATGGTGCACAGACTGGCATTTCCTCCACACATACTTGGTTTACCTGTCAGCACATCATTGAGAGCAGATGGCAGAGCCCACATTGACCCTCTCAAAACAGACCAGACACTTTAAAATTGCCACAAAGAAATCATTGGTTGAAAGTGACACCAGTGACACAGGTACAAGCTAACAGCAAAGAAAGTGGCAGAGTTGACCCGTATGCTCTTAGAATGAGTCTTTAGCCTGATTAGGAGGTAAAACAACAAAGTTTAGTTGGATCCAACAAGAAGTGACCAGAAACAACTTAAATGGTCAGAATGTCTATTTGAAATGGAGATTTATATTTACTGCCATTAAATGGAGCCCAAGCTGCCAGAAGCATCATCTGGTAGGAGAGAGGAGCCAGCACAGTATGGCATTTCAGAGCAAGCTCCCCAAGCATCAGAAACACCTATGCAGTTTCTTTTCTTTCTATTCTTCTTGATGCTCTGGATGGAACCCAAGGCTTTGCAGGTGCTGAGCATAAGCTTTACTGAGCTGCACCCCCATCCCAGTTTCCTTAATGAAATAGTTGCTTAATATCTACTCCAGTGTTTAGAGAAATTTTACCACACTTGATGGTAAGCTATATAGGAGCCTCTGTGGCGATTTCTTCTCAATAACATACCCAAACCATTTACCATCATAAAGTCCTGTCACAGTAAACATGACAAATAATATGTGGAAAACAATATGGCAGTAACAATACATATTCCTTTATCAACAAATGTTATCAAGAAACATTACTAAATTTTTTTTAAAGCAGTAAAACAGCTGCATGGGATTACATGCCTGTAATCCCAGTACTTGGGAGGCTGAGGCAGGAGGACTGCCTCAAATTCAAGGCCTCCTGGGCTACATAATGAGTTCAAGGAATTCCAGGCTGAACTACATAGCAAGATTCTATCTCAAAAAAAAAGAGAGAAAAGAAAAAGAACGTAGTAAAACAAAGCCCAAAGTGTGGCATGTTTACAGTTTATTTTTAATATTTCATTTGAATGATAAAGTTAAGAAAAGTGGGACCAGAGAAGATATATTCTCAAGAGTGAAATGGCTTTTTTTAAGTAGAAATAATAAGTGACTTTAAAAATACTTACTAGAGAAACTAGATCATTTGAGTGGCCATGTTGACTGGAATTTTTCTAAAAGGATTTAGGGAAGGTTACAGCAAAAGTTCAATATATGCAATATGTTATTACCATATTTATAAGCAAGTGGCTTAAGTGCTCAGAGTTTTCAGGATATAATTGATGTTTTATTTTTTAAAATAAATAGGCAGATAGAATTAACAAAGCAGAGAATGACCATGGCAATCTTTGAACCTCTGTTTTTTTTGAAGAGAAAAGAACAAAACCAAATTAACAAACACAAAGACATAAACAAAACATCATAAAAAAGTAGAGAATTTCAAAGAAGGTGATAGGAAATTAACAGTGGTTGTTGTATTACATATTGTTTGTTTGTTTTTGTTTTTGTTTTTCTTCCGGTACCAGGAATTGAACCCATGACCTTGCGCTTGCCAGGCAGGCTCTGTGCCGCTGAGCTAAATCCCCAGCCCCTGTATTACATATTGTTATCTTCAAATTGGTTACTCAGATAAACATATACAGGCATGTAAGATAGATCAAACAATTAAACATTAACTGTTCCTTTCAATAAAGGAATAGAAATTAGTAGTACAATTATCTTAGCTATCTTGTATGTGTGTATGTGTATACATATATATATACATATATATATATTATATATATATATGTATATATATATATACACACAAGTATTTTTTCCTTTCCTTCTTTCTTTTCTTTTTCCCTCATCCCAAGTTGCTCTTTCCTTTTGATCAGTTTCTTTCCCTTTCACAATATCTGTTGTACCTTTCAGATTTTATTTACTCTTTCAAGTTCTTACGCTAGGAAGACAGTATGATGTTTACACATGTGACTCTGATTTACAGGATTTTTAAAGATAATTTCAGCATGATTGGATACCTTTGTAAAATCAAATCTGAGTAGTTTGCAAAAATAATTATTTGACCCCAGAAAGAGATTTACTAGGCAAATTTCGGTGAAAATTAAAATTTAGTATTATGATTTACCCAGTACAGACAATAGTGTCTTGTTCCCTCTGGCTCAACAGATTCCTCGGAATTAACTTTTTTAATCTTTTTTTTTCTTGTCATTAAAATCAAAATCAAAACAGACTGGCTCTTTGAATTACTGTATTTCTAAGGAATAAGAAAGATTTTCAGAGCTAAGAAAGCATACTTAATCATATTTCTTTTGAAGTAGTATTTCCAGTGAGAGAAAGATGTTTTGAATCATGAATGACTATAATTAAATTATCTTTAAAATTTAGTATATTTCAGCTTTATATGCTTTTTTTTGAGACAGGGTTTCACTATAGTTCAGCCTGACCTCAAACTCACAGTGATCCTCCTGGCTTATATATGTGTTCTTTAAAGAATATGTCCATTTTGGGAGAAGCTTTATACTGTATCGTAATCTATGGACTCAGAAGCATATGAGCTTAAGTTATAAATAGAAGTTGAAGTCCCGGATCAGATGTTTCCCCTAGTAAACATGAACTGCAGGTGTGTGGAAAACAGCTGCCCAGAGGTTCCTAGGATATCTGGGTCCTCTGACTTGGGTCATAAGTTGTGAATCATTGTGTTTTGAAAGGGACCTTTTGAAAAGGTGTTTTTCATAGAGTTAGACTTCTGATAAAGCATTAAATTTCAGTGTGTGTGTGTGCATGCGTGCATGTTTGTGTCTGGAAATTGACTCCAGCATGTGCTGAGCCACATCCCCAGCCTTTTTTTTTTTGAGACAGGATCCTGCTGAATTTGCTAGCCTGGCTTTAAACTTGGAATTCTCCTCCCTTAGCCTCCCAAGCATCTAGCATTACAAGTGTGCACCACCACACCCAGTTCCATATTCTTTTATGGAAAGGAAATGAAACTTTTATGAGGTGTATCACTTGTATTAAGGAAAATTAGTTAGCAACTTTGCAGTCTTTTCTATAAGCATGAGTTTCTCCTGAGATTGTAAAACACTCTGTAGTTAAGGAATTTGAGAGGAATAAAATTTAATTATTGCTTTGTTGTAAAATCTGGAAATAGGCTGGGTATGGCGGTGCATGATTATAGAATCCTAGTACTCAGGAGGCTGAGGCAAGAGGATCACTGCAAGTTTAGGGCCAGCCTGGACTATATAGCAAGATCCAGTCTCCAAAAAAAAAAAAAAAAAAATCTAGAAATAATTATAATTAATTTTCTACTTATTTTCACTCTTCAGCAAAACAGGGACTTGGACATGTTCATCAATGCGTCTAAAAACTTCAACCTCAATATTACCTGGGCTGCCAGCTTCTCAGGTAAAGACACCTAGAGAAGACACTGCAAGTGGAGATGATAGATTGGAAAAAGGGGGCTCTGCAGAGATACAGGTGGCTTTCAAACCTACCTTTGCTCCTTATTAGCTGTGAGATCTTGAGCAAGTGTCTAAACCCCTCTCTCAACCTTAGAATTCTTCATCTGTAAAGTGAGCATTGCAGTATTTACCTCCTAGAACTGTGTAGACTAAATTAGGTTACACTTGCCCATGCCTACCATCAGTAGGTAGTTCCTACCCCTATCCTACTACCACCCCTAGCACCTTTGGTGTGGTCACTGCTCTGGCACCACCATCTTCATCTACATCCATGCTTCAGAGGTGAAAATGTCAAAGGACTCATAGTTTCAAGAACACCTTTCAAATAAAATGAGATTTAGCAGGTACAGAAAACTGCACTTTGGTAATTAAACCAAGCTCTAAAACCAAGTTTTTTTATCTCAGTGTGATTCACTAAAGATCAGATGACCCAGTGGAGTGGTTAACACAGATAACTTGACAGATAGACTGGGTTTGTTTGAATTCTGCCTCTTGCTTACCTACCCCGTGCTGTTGGGCAAGTTACCTAAGCTTTCTGGGCTATTTTCCTTATGTATGAAATGGGACAGTGAAGAACGCCTTGCTGAATGTTATGAGGATTAAATGAGGTTTTCAACAAAGTACTCAGTGTAATGCTTGAAACTCGGTTAATTTTCACTACTAAGTGGTAACTGTTTCATCATCATTACTACCGTGCCAATACCTTACAAACCAGTTATACTTGTAAAAAATAAAACATAAGCTTTGCACACTACTCTGTGGTTCATTATATCTTAAAAGACTTTGTAGAATTTGGGAAAAACTCAGAAACCTGTAATGAGGAGAGACTTTTATGAAAAAGTTTGAAATATTGGACTATTTGGAGAAAGGCACCATCTCAGAACATGGGAAGACTTGCAGTGACTATATCAGCAGAGATGTGACTGTCTAGGCCAGTGGTGGCAAACCTGTGACACGCATGCCACAGCCGTTTGTCATCACTGAAAGCTCTAGAAGGTTTGCCATCACTGGTCTGGCTGTAGACCCAGGCTTAACTCAAGCATGGGAAAAAGTCCATTTTGTGAGTCTATATAGTCATTCAAGTGCTGGCTGAGAGGAACATGGAAAGCAAAAGGATTGTCTGGGAATAGATGGAGTTAAAGCAGGCTGGAAGGACTTAATACAGTGTAGCTGATAGCAGAAGATGGGTTATTTGCCTATACCAACCGTCAGAGAGCTGAGCCCCCCTTTGAGGCCCTTCCTCCTTGAAGAGACTTGAGGTCACTGCTGGTTAGGAAGTGAGGGGGTGAATCAGTGTCCCTGGCACAGGGTCTGGTGCATCGCCTTGTGGGTATGAAGGGGAAATGTAAAAGAACCGAGGTGATATGTTCCCAGGGGATGCCGGTGCGAGGGAGTAGAACCATGATGGTGTCTATGCTATCGTGGCCCTGTGTTGATAGGCATGGGATAGGGAGTTGCAGGACTTTCTAGTTTGGGGTATAGGCTTGTGTATCAGCCTGCCCCACTTCAAATTCCAGCTCTAGTTGCTGTCCGTGTGCCCTGAGGCAAGTTACTTAATTTCCTGGAACCTCAATTTCCTAATCTGTAAATGAAGATAATAGAGCTGTTATGAGGATTAATGGAGATGGAGCTCTTAAAAGCTATTTCTGAGACATTGTAAGTGTTAAGTAAATGCAGTTATCTTCATTATTAATAAGTGTAGATTGTGTCCAAAAAGTCCCTTATTTTCATTCTCTTCTTCCTAACAGCTGGAACTCAAGCTGGAGAGGAAATGCCTGTTGTTTCAAAAACCAACATTAAGGAGTACAAAGATAGCTTCTCCAATGAGAAGTTTGATTTTCGAAACCACCCAAATATCACTTTCTTTGTTTATGTCAGTAATTTTACCTGGCCTGTCAAAATTCAGGTAAGAAATGCCTTCTGGCCTCATACATGCACAGGTGGTGAAATTCCTCTAGGGGAAGACTAAGCTTGCTAATTTGGAATTTGTGGTAAATGAAATGTACACTGTTGCTTTGCCTTTGATTTATAAGATCTGTGCAAAGGAGTGCTAAACATCTGAGCACTGGGGAAATGATTGTGCTAGGGCTGTCTTATGTCACTTGTGAAAAAAATTTACAAGTACTTTGGAAAGCAAATTGCCATATAGCAAATTTGGTAATTATAGAGAGTATTCATTTCTTCATTGAGCACTTGCATATGAAAGCCAGCAATGTTACACAGAGAACTTTAACACTGGATGAACAGGGAGAGTAGAAAGGAAATAAACACTTGCAACCAGTGGAAGCCAGTGTGGAATGTGACCTAGTGAAGATCCCCAAAATGCTGTCAGAGTTTCAGGCAGCATACCTGGAGGCAGCACGAAGTGGTGTGTAAGAGCATAGGCCTTGCGGCCTGCCAGATGGTTTGATTCACAGCTGCTGTGCATGTCATGGAGCCTGTCCAAGTCTCAGGTGATTTATGCCTGTGACTCAAGGAGAGTTGTCAGGGTTCATGTCACCTGCTGCAGCCTGTGTTGTCAGTCTGCTCTTTTCTTGCTTCCAAGGGACTAGGTACTCCTTCCGGCCCTGTTTGTCACGTCCTCTGAGCGCTTGCCTCAAAACTGCCTGTTCCTTACGTCCTTAACTTTGAGTAGCTGTGGAGGTGAAGGGTGAGAGGACTTGGAAGGACTGGTTCACTTTTAGCCACAGAAATGTGGTTATTGTGCTGGAGCTGTTAATATAATCCGATTGGGAAGCAGGTCAGCACTGCTTAGCTAGAATGAGTTTGGAACCTAGTTCTGGTGGTTATGACTTCATGCCTTGGGACTGTGACTGAAGAGGAGTCTTTTCCTTTTTTAGAAGTAGAAGACAGGAACTATGTTGTATTTCTTCACACAACCCTCTCCTTTTCCTGCCTAGATAGTCTACAAATTTGTTCATCCTCTGATCTGCTTCTCCCTTTACTCTTGTGCATTCTTGGCTTCCTTCCTCAATCTTGTAAACAAGGACCAGTCTGTTTCCTCTTACCTCTCCACCGCTCAGCCCACAGCAGTCTGACTTCTTCCCCACCCCACCAGGAACCACTTGATCTAAGTGAACCCTGATGACTGAATTCTTCAGTTCCCTTTTCTTTCTTGAGCATAACTTGAGTTGCTTTCTCACTTCCCATTCCTTTCTTTCCTGATTTTCTAGGCAGGGAATACTCTTCCTTAGACTCTGAGGTTGTCTACAATTCAAGCCTTGGTCCCCTTCTCTCTTCCCTCTACACAGCTACCCTGGGTATTTCATCTCATGTGCAGGCCTTATGGTACTGCTTCCATGGGAGCACCACACCAGTGTTCTTGACTGCTGCCTAGACATCGCCTGAATACTCACAAGCCCTGCACAGTGTGTGGCCGCTGTTGGGATCTTAGCCCCAAGCTCCTGTTTCTTTTCTCAGTGAACAGTACCACCATTCATCCATTGTACAAACCAGGCCAGGAAATCATTTGCATTCTTGGCATAAACCCAACTTGGGCACTATAATATTATTTCCCTACTGAACACATTGCTGGATTCATTTTGCTAATAGCTGAACTAGAACTTTGTGCCTATTTCATGAGTGGCAGTAATTTTCCTTTCCTGTCCTTGTTATGGTATTGATATCAAGGTAAATGAATCTGACCTTTAATAATTATAATTTGAGGGGCTGGGATTTAGCTCAGCGGCACAGCGCCTGCCTGGCAAGCTCAAGGTCATGTGTTCGATTCCTGGTACGGGAAAAAAACCCAAAAAATAAAAAAATAAAATAAAATAAAATCGAAGAATGAATTAAAAAAATTATAATTTGAAGAATTTTCTTTCTCTCTCTTCTCTAGAAAAGATTATTATTACAGTCTCAAGTACTTGAAGCTGGGTGTGGTGGGGCATACCTATAATTCCAGAATTTGGGAGGCTGAGGCAGGAGGACTGTAGTGAGTTTGAGGCCACTTGGGCTACATAGTGCATTTCAGGCTAGCCTGCACCATATAGTGAGACCCTGTCTTAAAATCAGTCAATCAGGGCAGAGGAGATGGCTCCATGGCACAGCGCCTGCCTTGTAAGCACAAGGCCCTGAGTTCAATTCCTAGTACCAAAAAAAAGAAAAAAGAAAGAAAGATTTAGGGCCAGAGATATAGCTCAGTGGCACAAGCGCCTGCCTGGCAAGTGCAAGGTCCTGAGTTTGATTCCCGGTACCTAAATAAATAGATAGATAGATAAATAGGTCCTTATCAAAATCAATCAAGTACTTGTAAAGCAATTTAATTCTAGTGTTTTATTTGTTGAGATACTTTTTAGTTACTGAATCAACTGTAAGGAAGTTGTGGGTTTTCTTTTCCTATTTGAGTCACTTTTGATAATTTTTTCTACATATTTATCTCACATGTTTTCAAATGTATTGCTATAAGGTTGTTCACACTGTTCTCTAATCTTCATAGCATCTATCATCATATAGCCTTTTTATACCCCAGTGCCCATCACAGCATTACTCCCGGTGGCCACAACTCAAATGTCCATCAATAGGTGAATGAAGGAATAAAAATTTAAAATGCTGTATATGTACAGTGAAAAATTATTCAACCTTAAAAATCAGTGAAGGGACTCGGGGTATAGCGCAGTAGTACAATGTTTGCATGCTTAACGAGTTCCAGGCCCTGGGCCCAGTCAGTCTTCAGCACCCCAAAAATTCTGATGTATGGCACAACACAGGTGATCCTCAAACACTATGCTAAGTGAAATAAGCCAGTGACAAAAGGATGGCTACTGTATAGTTCCACTTACATAAAATATAATATTCAAATTCATACAGTGAGGAAGTAGATTAGAGGTTAGCTGGAAGGAGCAAGAAATAAGAAGTTACTGCTTCATGGTTATTATAGTTTCTATTTAGGGTGATGAAAAAGCTTTAGAAGTAGACAGTAAGGTTCATTGTACAAAACTGTGGATGTAGTTACCACTGCTGAATTATATACTTAATAATCATTAAAAATGGAACAGGGCACAGTGGTATGTATGTGTAGTACCAGCTACTCAGAAGGCAGAGGCAGGAGGATTATTTGAGTCCAGGAATTCAAGACCTGCCTTGGCAACATCGAGAAAAAGAAAGTAGTGGTAGTTGGGGTTTTTAAATGATAAATTTTGTTTTATATGTCGTGCCACTATAAAAAAAATTTTTTTAAGTCTCAAGATGTTTATGTAGATCTAGATAAACTTACTCTGAAACTTAGGAAAGGCAAAGGTTTTAGAATAGCTCTGACAATTTTGAAAAAGAAGAGTGAAATGGGAAGAGTCACTGTACCCAATATTGATTGTTACTGTGACCAGTACATTGTGGTCACTGGCAGAGCAATAGGTGCACAGATTAGTGGGATGGGCTGCTCTGCAGAACCACATCATACTGACCAGCTGACTTCTGACAGAGATGCAGAGCAGCTCACTGGAGGAAAGATGGCCTTTTCAACAGAGTGCTAGTGCACTTGCATAGTCATAAGCAAATATATAAGCCTGCCTCAACTGCACATTTTCTACAGAAGTTGACTCAGCATGGAGCACAGATCTGAATGTTGTTTTGTTTTGTTTTTTTGTCTTTTTGAAACAAGGTTTCACCGTGCAGTTCAGGCTGGTCTTGAATTCACAGCAGTCTTCCTGCCTCAGCCTTCCAAGTGCTGGGATTACAGGTGTGCACCACCATACCTGGTCACAGGTGTAAATATAAAACGTAACTACAAAACTTTTAGAAAAAAATTATAGGAGAAAAATTTTGTCTCCTCCATCCCCAAGATTGAACCCAGTGCCTCAAGCATGGTGAGCAGGTGCTCTACCACTGAGCTACACCCTCAATAGGCTTTCAAATTACAGATCATATATTTTGTTAGATTATTTTTGTATAAAATATTTGATTTGGAGTTTAGTACATAACATGTATTGACTTGTTTTAAGCTGAGATTGGTTTTTATACTGTCCTCATCATATTCTGAACCCAGTTGAACAGCAAGCTTTGTTGTTCACAGCTGGAAAATGGTTAGTATTTTTCAGATTCTTAGTGAGAATCTTGACTTAGGCTGCTGACGTTTTCCACAGCTGGAAAGAGGGCTGTGTGCATATAAGCAGGCTTTTGTGTGGAGATAGCAGTGCTGTTGCCAATGCCGAGTTCTAGTTTTTTTCCTCCCAACACCCCGTTGCTCCACCCTCTGAAAGTCACTAACATGGTTTTAGAGCTGTCCTTCAAGAGGGAGCTCTTCCCCAAACTTACTTTAAAAAGTAATAATTTTAAGTTTAAGAACCAAGCAGATTTTTTTTCCCCAATTTTTTGGTGCTCCTTACCTGGGCTGGATCAGTAAGTTGAATAAAATCCACTTATAAAAGCTGCGTTCAGGAGCAATGGCGTGCTCACGTTTGAGTTTGCCAGGGCTGCCTTGAAAGAGCAGGTAAGTTCTATTGAAAATGTGTCTTTGCTCTCTGGTACAAATGCTTGCAGTTAGTACAAACAGTGTGAGTAAGCCGTGGTGCCGTGTGTTCTCAGTGTCCTCTCATGGAGTCAGGTTGACACTGGCTCTGTGTACTTGGGATGGGATCTGGCTGGGCACTGTGTGGAGGCATCTTCCGGGGTACGTGCATCGTGGTCTCTATTTCCCCCAGGTTGTAGCTTTTCTAGGTGTAGCATAGCTCTTACACAGATGCATGCGCGCACGCACACACACACGAACACATAGCAGCTGTACAAATTGAGCAAAAATGTAGAGACTTATTTATGGAAGAATGGGGAAATGTCTAAATGTGCAGTGTAGGATAGGACATTTGGTTAAATTTCAGTATGACTTTCAGTGCCTGTGAGTCATTTTTTGCAAGCAAAGTAACTGAGGAAGTCTACTTCTTGACACAGAAATCCATGTAAACACTGACGCTT